ATATATATGCTCAGCCGCCCCACCCACCAAATAAAACAAAAAGAAGGTCATATTTGGGCGTGCGCCTCCATTTTCTTGAACATTGCTTGTTTGGAAGGGACTCCCACCCACACCCGAGTCTCCTAGCCAGTGACATTTCATCAGTTTTGAGTGGCCGAAACCCCCATCATCTTAGTCTTAGCGAGGTTCACTTGACACCTATTGATAGCTCAAAACACCTTAGAAACAACCATAAGTTGTCCACTTGTCCAGTATGTTATCAACATCTTGTAGGTGGGATATAGGACGCCCTCCACTGATGAAGAGAGAAATCTCATGGGAGGTTTTCATTTTAAAGATTGGAAATGAAGTTGCTAAAGAATTCCCCCATAATGGAAAAGAGGAAAGGGAAGGGGGTCACAGTGTCGAAGGCCCCACGATGATGGAAGGTGCCCTACAGGACTGGCATTGATGACCACTAAGAGATAAGGGAAAGCAATGCACCCACGATTTAACTTCACCTCCAATCAAACTCCATAAGCTACATGACCTGGTCCATAATGTCCCATTCTGTATGATTATGGACCATTCTGTACGGTCATAAAGCTCCTCCCTATCGAACTTGAACACCAAACCCAGAGACTTAGAGTCTCATCCAAGATTGGCGATCCTTCACGAACATACCCAGTGTTGGAGATACTACTTGACCAGGAACCTCCTGAAGCAGAGAAATTAACACTTTTGACATGATCTTGCAAGATAAATGCAATAGGCTTATGGGGCTAAAGTCCTTGAGTTCCTCTACTTTTGTAACCAAGGCAAGGAAGTGGAATTCATGCCTCAATGAATGACAACCCCTGTTAAATAACTCAAGAAGAACGCCAAGACATCTGGGGCAACCTTGTCCCAAAATAGATGACCAGGACAACCAACAACCCAACCAGTCCTGGCACCTTTCATGACCAAAGTCCGAAATAGCCTTGTGGATATCTGACTCAGGGTCCATCCTACTTTCTTAATAGAAATGGACTCAATGGAAGTACTTCGCCTGTGTCCAGAGAACAATATCAGGAAGTACTGACTAATTACTATGTCGACTTACATGGGCTCATCATAAATTTACTCTCCTTCCTTGATTTGAACTATGTTGCTGGATCTTCTACGACTATTTGCTATTTCGCGGAAGAAAGCCATATTCTCGTCACCATCTTTTATGGATCTCAAGTATCATAACATTTCTTCTTGCTTTAGGGCCCGTTGGTATTCTACCCCATCTCTGCCATTCTTCCCCTTTCTCCTGGCTATAGGTCTCTCATCTGCTACGCAAGATCAAGTTCACTGATCTCCTGAAGGAGGGCCTCCTTCGGTCCTTCCTTCCCCGGAAATCCTGGAAGTTCTAACAACTCCAGGTTTTCAATTAGGATACGGTGTTGGTGAGTCAGCCGACTCATCTATTTACATGAACTCCTACAAAATCCATCTTAGAGATGGACTTAGGATCCAAAATTTAGGGTTGATAATCTCAAACATGGATCTGAAAAATAAATAAATAAACATTAAAATTTAAAAATGGTTTTTTTTCCTTAGTTCCCTTAAACTGTTCATTTTAGTTTTGGAGAGAGGCACCTTTTTTTCGCAATCCATATTAAAGATGGATGTTTGATGTGTCAAAGGAAATAGCCTAATAACCTTTTCAATTATTCTTTTAAGAGTTACAAATTTTTCTCCAACTTAAGTGAACAGTTCTCAAAATAAATAAGAAAATTATTTACTTGACCAAGGTTAGCTTATTTTTTGCCGAGAGGCTATGTGGGCTCCCTCTCTGGACCCTTGTACTTTCTTCCTTTTTCAATAGAACAGTTAACAGCATCAAAATAAATAAGAAATTTGTCTCCACTAGTCCACCCTAGACCCATCCAACCCTTCTACTAAAAAGGAATGGCACCGCTACGGGATAAATCTGTGCAGCTCTCCATGCTCAAACTACAACATCTTGAACCTGAACAGTTTTTTACAAGTTGAGATTGTTACAGTATTTAATATGATAGGGATATGCTCTAATTCAGCTTCAGGAGAACTTGTCTTCCCAATCCAGAGAATAAGGAAGAGATCTAGTTTGGCCAGAATTGGACCATCCGCGTGCATTGACCAAGTGAAAGAGTCACCATTAAAAGGTAGGCCTTTGATTATTCTTAAATACAAAATTGGAGAAGGATGACATACTATTCCTATTTCTTTCAAATGTCTATCTACTAATATTGAAGTCTCCTCCTAAGCACCAGGGAGTGGGGAGCTTTCATCTAGTTCCAACCAAAAATCATTCCTGAGAGTGGGACAATTAGGTCCAGATGGTGCAGCACACTTCCAATCAAAAGTATCTAAAGAGCCTAAGGAAAAAGGTCAACACAGAAAATCTACCAATCAGCTGAGGCTTTTGAGAGGCAAAAAGGGTCCCAAACGACCAAAATCCTGTCCGATGCGCCCTGAGCAGGTAAGGCTTCCTTAGCAGGGCCACCTACCTGAAACTTGACAAACCAAAGCCAGATAAGGGGGACCAAGTGCTGTTTCTGAAATAGCCAGGATCTCCCAGAAATGCTCTTGGGAGAACTCCAAAACAGCCCTCTTCTTGAATGGGTGGCTGTGACCATGAACATTCTCTCCACACCAAAAAACACACAAGATACACCCAATTATGACATGGAACAACATTGAAGCTAGCAAAATCGAAGATGGAAAAATGCATGCTTAATTACCATAACATACAATGGATTCCAAATACCTCTTCCAGATAGCCACTTTTAGTAAGCGCACGGACAAGAAAAATGCAGATTTTTTTATTAATGGTGATCTTCTTTTCTTTCATGAGCCTACATATTTCCATGACAAACTGCAATAAAAGGATGACAAGTCCATCAAAATACAAGAAAGCATATTTCCACATTCGAAATAAAAAATATGACACAGAATAAAACTTGGAACATTAAAAACGGAAGAGAAAATAAACATAAAGATGTAATCCATGAGAGCCTTTAGAGATCAATAATTGTTCATCCACTGTACCTTTCTATCCATGAATCAGACCCAGCATTTAAAATAGTGATAAGTGGCCAATGAAACTTCCTATGGCTTACCCAACAAGATAATAAACATCATATGAATGGTTGAAACTTAATTAAAAGAATCAAAGAGCAGTAAGTGTTATAATCCCCCATTCCCACAACCCATACTACTCATCACTCAAAACCATGAGTTAGGAAAGGGAGAGATCAGATTTGACTTTAGTAAATGGCGCACCCTAATTGAATCCAGTAAGACTTTGATTCAAATCAAGAACCCAAACTCTGATCACAAAATAAAAGAACTTGACAAAAGATGAATAATGCATGAAGCATGGAAGAAAATGATGCCCAGAATTACACCTAGGAGATATACATGTGGAGGAATATCTATTTTTTATTTTCACAAGAAGAACTTCAGGCACTGAGCAAAAATCATATCATGGAGAGGAGAGTGCAACTTCCCCATGAACACAAGGGGCTCCACAAAATACTTTACTTACCCAATCAAGTATCCAGGTGAGTCTCGCATAGTAAAATCCATGAGTCCCAAAAAGGACGTGAATCAAGCCAACAAAGACCCATTCCAAATCAACAAGACAAGACCAATTAGAACACAAGTAGTAGCTGGTAAGGCCTGAAGTAAAATCTACTATTTGAGGACTGCCAGTTGGGAGCATCCTGCAGCGGTGAACCGATAAACTTATAGACAATCATTAAGATTGCTAAAAAACATTGTTGACTTCAACAAAAAAGAAAAACGTGGAACAAGGTGCCACTAACCAAATACAAAATTTCTGAATTTATCCTTTTTTTTATTGGCAACAGAAGTAATCATATTCATTTTTCTATTTTGAAAGATATATCATATTCATACTTCAAGATAAATGAAGTATTGAAAATTAAACCCCAAGGATCATCTAATTCCTCAATAACTTCGAGAGGACAAAAATCCTTCAAAATTTTATAGATGAAAGTTTGTCTATGGATTATGATGTAGAACAGAGAGAAAAGAGAGAGAAATAGCTCACAATCAAGTAGAAATTACAGTGTAACATTTTTCTAATGAGGGTATTTTTTTTCATTAGCAAGGGTGTGACATCATCCACATGGGATGTGACATCACCCACATGGAGCACACTCCCTTACTAAAAAAAAGCTCCATGTACAAAACTAGGGTATATAAGTGTCCAAATATTATTGAGTATAATTATAAATTACTCTATAGTATGAACACCCTAACATAACCATATATATATATATATATATAACATTTTCACACTAATTGACCTTTCATACCTTAAAAAAAAAAAACCCAAAAATGTACATTTTTAAAATTAATTTTATTTCATATTCATGATCACCTTTGGCCTAGATCATGAATTCATCTTTAAAATGAATTGTAAAAGGGGAACACATGTGTACCTATGAGGCCTATTATTAACTTTTGGTAATTTTTATACAAAATATCTTACTAATTTTAAAGATTTTCAGACTAATTGACATTTTATACCTAAAAAAAAACCCAAAATGTACATTTGAGATTTTAAAATTTTATTTTTTTCATATTCATGATCACCTTGGCCTAAATCATGATTTCCTAAAAATATGAATAAAAAATTTTATCTTTAAAATGAACTTTAAACAGGGGACAGATGTGTACATATGAGTCCTATTACTTATTTTTTATAATTTTTTATAAAAAATATGTTACTAGTTTTAAAAATATTCACACTAATTGAGCTTTTTTTTTTTTTGTAGGGAAGAAATGTTAACTTACACAAATTGAGCTTTTATACCTTAAAAAAAAAAGGAACACATTAGATTTTAAAAAAATTATTCTCTTTTCTTATTCATGATCACCTTGGCATAGATCATGAATTCCTAAAAAAAAGGATAAAAAAATCATCTTTAAAATGAACTTTAAAAGGGTGATGCATGTGTACATATGAGCCCCATTACTAATTTTTTGGAATTTTTTATACAAATTATCTTACTAATTTTAATAATTTTTATTATTCACTAAAAGTGCCTTGAACAATCCATTTTTAACCACTTCTAAAATATATATATTAATTTGAGAAATCCATTTTACATGTTCATCAAAGGTTCCTCGTTTAGCTTCAAAATGCTCGGATTTGAGCAAGAAAACTAAATATCGATTTGAGGTTTTGTAAGAGATTCGAAGAGCTTCAACCACAATAAAAATCAGAAAAAGTAACTAAGAAATGAGAGAGATCTAGATTTTGGCAGGTTTTACAGGTTTCTCAAAGGTGGCTCTGTTTAGCCATCTAAATGCTCGGATTTGAGCAAGAAAACTAAAGATAAATATAAGGTTTTTGTAGGGGATTCGAAGAGCTTCAACAAGAGTAAAAAATCAGAAAATATAACTGACAGATGAGAGAGAAATCAAGATTTTGGTGGAAATTTTATTTTTCCTGCTAACGAGAACCCTAAAAACTTAGGGTTATGAGATCATTTGTACTTGTGGAAACTCGGCCGCATCCATAGGGCGAGGCCGATTAAATCAGCCAAGTCCAAAAACACTGGTCCAAAGACACCCCAAAATGGGAACTAAGTTCCTGATATCTGAGATTTTACAGCAAAAACATTCATTCCAGCAGCATAAAGTCTCCCTCTTTCAATAGACTTGGCTTGGCTTCTAAGTAAAAGCTCTCTTAATTTTCCTAGGAACATTAACAGACTCTACCCCTTCCCAAGTCATGCAAATACCTTTTCCCAACCCATGCACAACTAAAGTTTCTAGGAGTATTAATAGATTCTATCTCCATGCACAATACGTCTTCCCAAGCAGAATTTAAAATTCAAATTCTAACCTTTCCCTCCTAATTTTTCCCATGCTCAAAACTTAAATGGAACCATTTGGATTTTCTATAAATTCCATAAAATCATTACATAGAAAATATTCAAAATACCCCTGCAGAAAAAGGGAAGAGAAATCATCATCATCATCATTCAAGCCCTATCCCAATAATTTGGGGTCAACTATACGAATCATGTTTTGCCAATCTGCTCTATCAAGGGCCATACCCTCAATAAGACTATAATCGCTTACGGGGAACGCCCTAGCATGAGTAGATAATGTAGATTCAAGATTCACAGAAAGTTATGGTAAAGTTTTAAGCTGGCTGCCTACCTAAGACAACGCTCCTTTACCCAGGCTTGGGACCGACATGACTGGTAGGACGCCTACCAAGGATCACAATGCAGTCCACAAAATGTCAACAAAACTTTCTTTTTTATTTTCTCCATCAGATTACTGGTGGCAATGTTCTAAGTTTGCTTCCATATACGACCATTGGATCATACAAGAAAAGTATGATTTGATTTGTGCCTCAAGCATCACTTCCGTCAATTCCTCACTTGTTGATACATGTAAGCATGTACTATTCACATACTATCTACTTGATTCTAGTATAGAACTGCTTAAAATTTTATCTATAAATATTATCTGTGAAAGGAAATGAATGAAAACATGGACATAGCCTCTGAACCACGCAGGGCTGAGCCCAAATCAGCCAGTTCAACTCGGTTGAGTATATGAGAACTTAACACAGTAACCTTAGGAACTGTCGAGACTCGACCATTTCCCAAGGTTTTCCAACAAGACCCAGCACACTGTTGGTCCGAGCCACAGGTACGTCTAACCCCTGAAGCGGCAGGTCTGATTGACTTGGTGCGGCTTTGCAAACTATGAACCAATGGTTTAGGATAGTTTAAGTCTAGCCACAAAAAGAAAAAGAAACAAATTGAGAAAGTTCTGCAGCTACTCCTATTTGGCCTAAGAAAAATATACACACTACTAGCCTGTTAAATACTTTGAAATTTGGATATCAAGAAAAGTAATTATTCATCTGGGGTTGGTATTGGTGTAAGGCGTTAGCATATTGGTGCTGTACAATAGGAAAAAAATGAGGTCCCGACTCATTTTCACGTAGAATGTAAAAAGCCACATATTAGCAACATATTGCCCACCTGACATTGACTGCCAAGACCATCTCACGCATTACGATCGAAAGTCCAATCCAGAAGCATTCTTAAACGCAGCCTAAATCAAGAAGGTAAAGAGGAAGGAGAAGTACAAGGAGGGCACCAATGCTTGGAGGGAATAGGCTTCTTTAATAATCCCAATTGCTTAACTATTTATATACACATACACATCAAGATGACATTCGAAGAACAAAACAATGCATGAGACATGAACTAACCTATAAAAATATGGTACAACTGAATACAATTTATCTAGGACAATCTTATCCTGCGCAAACATTGACTTATACCATAATCAAGTAGATGAACACTCCATCACACATATTTATGAAAGGCTAAGGACCAAAAGATACCAACAAGAAACTAATAACTCCATAAATAATATAAAAAAATTACAGAAGGTACAGATTTCACTCACCAATGCATCTGGAACTTTCGAACAATAATCAAGTAGATAGACAAAATCATCAGCTGTTGAAAACTCTTGACAACAGCTAAGATGTGAAAGGAGATCAGAGGCCCTTTGTCTTTGCCCTGAGCGAAGAGAATCAACAATTTGCACTTGCAAATACCTATTGATTGAACCTGCTCCATATCTAGGTCTGAAATCTGCGACTGAATGCATCACACCATGATTACTTGGCCAAAAATAAGACTTCCAGGTAATAGAATGCAGCTCTAACAAAATTATCTTACAAGAAAGGGACAAACAAAATTGGAAGTTAAATTCTTCAGAAAACATTGTAAGTCAAATTTCAGGAGATAAAAGATCCAAGAAATTTAATGTCATAATAAAACCTGCAAATGAGAATGATAGATATGCTCAGAAAGATTATTAACTGCATATATCAACAAGGAAATTTTTTTTTCCCCTGATAAGTTGAATCAAAGAGGAAATTCTATTTGACATTGTTGTTTGGTGAATTGAAAAGTTGATGCTGCCCCACATTTAGTGAACATGATTCAGTATATGGGAGTAAGCAAATCAGCAGAATGTCTCAGCATACTATGAAAAAGTTACATGTTAAGAAAGCTATTCAAATTATGAGTACATTCATTATCAGAATCTCCATAGCAATGCTTCTACCATAGTTTCAAAGCTCATCAAGTCGTATTGCAAGTCAACTTGCTCACCATAGAAATCAGTCTTACAGTTCCAAGGTTAAACTCAGTCCATCTTGCCAAGTTGGAATGATCTTCTATCAGTTTGTTTTAACCAAATTTTTTACCTCACTAAATTTGCCCGCAGGGAAAATCTGAATCAAATACTTAAATATAAAACAAGCACAATACACTATTTCACAAAAATATGAAACCAACAAATTACGATTGATCTTGAGCCTTAAGTTTAAGCGTCCAATACATTTGAAGTATTTAGGCAAAACATGCAAAGAAACTACACCAAATTGAAAATTGTTCTTAGATATATCACATGATGAATTTGATCAAGAACCAGCTAACACTCCAGATTGGTCCAGAATGAGAAGTCTAGAAAAAGAAGAATTCCTATTTTTGCAGAAACCGTCCCATCATGAATAACTGACTAGAACTAACTGACAAAAATTATCACATAACTCTTAAGTTTGGCACATCACAATTCCAAAAGGTAGAAAATTCACCTCTTATAATCTTTGACAAACTCACCAACAATAGGACTTCATCCTATGCCAAATTTCAACTAAACATAGGTAACCACATAACTCTAGTCATACTTTCTTGAGCAATTGCCTTCTAAAGATTCTATCTCTACAGTCACTTTCCTTGCAACAACATATCCACCACGTTCAGCTTTCTGATCTTGGAAAAGCTACATTGCATTGGTATGCACACCTCCTCCCATAAACAAGTGAAAATTGGGTCCATAACCTTCATCACTCGAAAGGAACTTTGGAAAGAGCCTTTGCAGTTTTATCTCCAACCAATGAAGGAAATTAGAAGAGATGCATATGGGATGTTTAGAAGTAAGGTAGGTCACTTTCCATCACTTATCAAGGTTTACATCTTATTGGAGGTGCTCCTATTTTGGAAACTCGTAATGGGGACAATCTAATCATAACAGGCATCGAGGAAACACTCTGTTGTAGCATGATGAAATTCATCAACTTGTCGCCAAGTATCCTACTGAGTTGTTTTGACTAAAATTTCAAGGTTCTAACGTTATGGTGACAACAACTAATCAAAGATTAAAACAACCTTAGTAATGAAATTAAGTGAATCCAAAATAGGTTGGGGCATACAGTAGGAATATAAGTTTAATCAATTTTGATGGTCTCATAAGGCCAACGACAATGAAAAGTGATGTTTTCCAATCAGATGATTCAAATGAAGGGACCGTCCACTTTACAGGCCAAATTGAAATTCATCATCTTATTACAATCTGATCCCAAGACGTGTTTGATTTACAAATATCATTTGATTCCCAACTGCCAATTGCCATTGGAACCCCAACTGCAATCAGTGGCAAAACCACATGAAGGCGATTTCTGAAAAATTCTCTCTCTCTCTTTCTCTCTCTCTCTCTCTCTCTCTCTCTCTCTCTCTCTACTACAACAACACACCACTACACTACACTACTACACTACACACACACACACACACACACACACACCACACTACCACACACCACTACTACACACACACTACACCACCA